CTTGGTTGCCGATGTGGATTTCCACGTGTGACCCATAAAATGGGGTCTTACGTGGAGTGTTGGAACCCTCATTTGTCCCACATCGGACAGAGGGAGAAGAGAAGAGCAGTTTGAATAGAAATACCCCTCTCTAACTAACACTGAAGCTTTTTGTGATAAAACCCCACATATGAGGATTGTGCAGGTGGTTAAGTGGAGACAGTATCGGTGTTGTTGGAGTGGGCCCTCAGCCTATCGACCTAAAAAATTCCACATTCTCACTTCTTTAAAGCTTAAACCTCGCAAGTGCGTGAGCACATAAACCCCATCATCCACTTTTCCAACAGATTTTAATACGTTGATTACAAAGTTATTCTCTAATTTTAACCGAAAGCGAATCACGACGACCGTGTCCTAGCAATAAGATTAGTAATGACAAACTATACATAAACGAGAAAGCATGCATTGATAAAAAGGTATGTGTATGTGCAACATATTTTCACATTAAATATCATACTAATGATCACTAAAACAACAATTAATACAGCCTAACCACTAATCCAATTGTTAATTGGGTATGCATAAGTCAAACACTAAGAACTGCTTTTTAAACTTTGGATATAAGAAAATTGTTTAAAGCTGCAATGGTCAAATGTCTGGATGATGCATTCTGACGCATTGACTATGCCTTACAAAAAAAATAATTTGATCCAATGACGTACAAGATTAGTTTAATAATAAACGAATAACAACCTTATTAATTTTGTATAAAATACATTAATAATCACACTAATGATGCCATTGATCACATTACCCTATCATGTTCAAAGGAAATCCTTAACCATTGACCAAATGAGTTTCCTAGTTCAACGTTCTCACATCACATCACGTGATACTCAGAATCATTTGCTTATACCTAGCTATATCGTTATTTTGTGGGGTAGACCCTAAAATTAAGCAATACATGTATATAGATCATATAGCAGTAAATATATATAATTTTGTTCAACATAAATATATACTGTCAAGGAGCTTCTAAAGAGAGGTTCCACTTTGGATAAACGAATGTGATTGCATGAAGGTAAATTCTTCAGATAATCTCAATTAATCATCTTCAACATCCATTTCTCCGTCCATATGGAGAAGAAAACTAGCTAGAGGCGGATTGTCCAGAAATTCTGGTTCATGATTATCAAGCTGCAACTATATGCATGGTTTACTAGCAACCAAACTTGTCTTGCTACAATTGTATCATGAAGAATGTACTGGGTGTTTTCAGTTACTTAAGTCTCTTTTCAAACGAGAACTTCTAAAGTTTTAAGAAATTTTAGATTCAATTGTTATAAATACATTATAAACTACTCAAGTACTACAAAGCTACTACCCAAACACCAAAAAGATACTAAATAAAGGACTTTCAAATGATACATTTTACAGTGATATTTTACCGTTCTCTCACGTGTATTGCATATAGTCATTTTTTAATTCTTTATAAATAAAAAATTAAAACATTTCTACAAAATATAGTCTAAATTCTATAGAACTTTAAAGTTTCCCATGCAAATATAACATTAATAATATCAATTAGTATTACAGTCTAGTAGTATTCCTCTTCACCTGTAAGTGAGAGGTGTTTGATCTGATTCTTGCCAAAAGCAAATCTGAACAACATTGTTGCTAGCCTATTGTGGGTTAAGTCCACCATTTCCCCTTAATATAGCCTTAATAATTTATGTCAGCTGAAAAAAAAAAGAATGTATAAATTCTTTTCAAGCATATAATTAATTAAGACTCCCTTTAGCTAATAATAATAACCACAACCGAAGGCAGAATTCCGATTCCGTGGTTTATCCTTAGTATATGTTCACAAGTCAATTGCGAATCGATCCATCCAGTTGGAGTGCGCTAAATGTACGTATGGTTAATCAATTGTAATTTTTTAGTTTATCAATTAAACAATGGTTATTCGAATTAATATTCTATCTATTTTTTAGTGTGGAATTGCATGGTTTATAAGAATTCTTATCTTTTGATCCATTTTGTATTAACTCGTACCATACCTGGGGCAATTAAATAACCGGTTGACTTAACAGTTTAGTATAATCTTAATTAGCTTTTTATCCTTTTCCCCTTCAGTTTAGAAAACAAAGTTGTTCTTTGTTCAATGGGCTTATAGTTATATAAAGAATTACGATAAACAATCAAACGAACTTGATACGACTCAAGTTGTTGATTGACAATGCCTAGAATGGAGAATTGATGAACCCTAAACTAAACTGATTCGACTACATTAGTACATCACTTCTTTTGCATTACCTTTTAATTGTAGACCTACGATATTCTATAACAATAAAATCCTCCAATTTAATGGCATGTTTACCTGAATGAAATAAAAAGTATAATACTTGCATTCTTTCCATGGGGAATACGTACAATCCATGTTTTGCAAATAACATATCATTATCGTATAAACTTCATAATAGAAACTGTTCAGCTTTTTAAATATCTTTTAAAAATCACTCGTACAAAAAAAAAAATCTAATCGGAGATCGTTTAATTATTCAAATCTATCAAATAAATGAACAGTTTATCATGAATGTTACTTGGTACTCACACCATCGATTTGTTTCATACATTTGAATGACTAAAAGATCTCCGATTCGAATAATTTTTGTAGAGATGATCTTCAAATGAATATTAAAAAGTTGAATGGTTCTCATTATGAAATTTAAACATTAAATATACGTTATTTGAAAAAAGTGGAACATGTGCATTTCTCCATGAGTGAGCGCAAGTATTTATCCAAACAAACATTTCCAATTTTTTTTTTTTCATTGCATTTACTTAACAAAAATATAATAATCATTTGAATTTCTAACTTTCTCTATGTTTACTTAACACACAAAATCATAGTCGAAAGTGTTCTACATGCATGGTATCAGAGTTGTGTTTTAACAAAGTACTCCAAAATTTTCTAGTCGCAAGCATGAGCCCCCATGTCCTAATTTTCTTGCCGGTTGAGTCTTAATTAGAACATTTGATTGGCTTAGAAGTTGATCACATCAAAAGAGCCGTGACCATTTGTTTGGATCCAAAATGACATTTTGAGTCAAGCCCATCTCGATCCAGGTTGAAGTGTTAGGAATATTCCCACCATGAGCCTGGCCCAGTAGGGATTTGACCAGATCCTATCAGGGAATAGTTCCGTTTGGATAAGGGTGAAGTGGTCGAATCCTGGTATGATAAGGAATCCTCAGAAGCCAGATATGCTTCGAATAAAAAAATGCCAAGAATCAAGGGTTGAATCTAGGTGATTAAGGAACTTGATTCAGAACCCTACATGAATCAGGATTGGCCGAGATCAATTCGGATTTGATTGAAGAATTCTAGTCCGAATAGAACTCTACCTCGGCCATGAGGAAATTGCCACTATAAATATAGAGGGGAGTGCATCATTCAAGAGCCCTCCAAATCAACACACAAAATTGCCCTGCCCAAACTCTCGCTTTACGCAAAACCTCTCAAAAACCTTGAGATTTTTATTTTCCTTTTTCACGCCAACACACCTTCAGTTTGGATAAACATCACTGTGGTGGCAATCGGCAATATCTTCAGTTTGGATAAACAGCATTGGAGCTGTAGAATCAGCATATTGAGGAGCACCTTCAGTTTGGATAAACAGCATTACTTCGAGACCAACTGGTTATCTATCCAAGTCTCGGTCAACAAAGATTTCCGAGTCCTTGTTGGAAGAGTTTATCTCATTAGCCTTCTCGGCGAAGTGAGGTGTTACCAGGTTACTTAATATTCACCACACTGAAAGCCGAATTCGATCTTAAACTTTGCAGAACTAGTAGCCTTGTCTTTAGACTCTAGAACCCGAAAGTCGAGACACGGTCAATAAAAAAGAAAACAACTATGGGTAAATCGACTACCAATTTAGCACCTATAGTTCAAAATCTAGTCCAAGATAATATGTTATAGGCACAAGATCTTCCTGTTGCCGTGACACCTGAAGCTACATGCATGGTTCGCCAAGAAACAAAAATTAATCTTGGCGGCCAGAACCATGATGCCATATTTTTCACCCAAGCTACCAAGGTGTTTTATTGAAGGCTTGGTAGAGGATTGCAATGACGAAGACGATGAGACTTCTGGTGCACTGTCTAAATCTTTTTTTCAACAACGGTTGGAAGAACAATCTCGACAGCTCGAGCATGTCTTTAGCTGAGGGATGAGCAGCTTACGTGCTAAACAAGAAAAAGCAAATCATAGCCACACATTGACCAACCAGTTGCTCGAGACTCTAGTTAAAAAAAGATCACAAGAATGGGCTCGTCAATCAATAGAGACAGAAGACTTCATTAAAGAAAAATGTTCCCTTAGGAGGGGAAAGGTCGCCGCCAATACAAGCCGAAGAAGAACTCAATCGGATTAGGACTATTGATCTTGAAAGACCATATGGTGAGACAAGCACTAGTTCGGCTGAATTTGGGTGAAGAATAGAAACGACATTCATTGATATGGGTGAAGTCTAGAGAACGATCGATTTATCCATCCATATCCGGCTTTCTTTGAAAGATTTAAGTATCCCCGAGGATAAAATCTCATATTTCACTCTTCGCCAGGGAATCATCCTTGTCCTCATTGGAACATATGGCCAGATTCACTGCCTAATGCGAGGATGTCAATAGTGATTACCACAAACTATGATTGTTTAACATCTCGTTAGTGTAGAGCCAAGATTTTGGTTTAGGAGGGGACCCTCACAAATGTTAAAAAAAAATTAAATCACTACTAGTTACAAAACTGTTAACCAAAACATCATAGTATATATATGAAAACTAACCAAAATTCAAAATAACATAGCATTGATAATATTACATATTCCCAAAAGTTAAAATCGTCCTCGACGATTTTTCATATTTTGAAAACGTTGCATGATATCCTCGTCCTCTATACTATTAAAAATATCCTTCTCAATAAGCAACAAAACAATTGTTCATCCACAAATCACCCATTCAATTGTGTAAGGTGTTCTTCACCTTGTTCATAGCAGAAAAGGCTCGCTCCACACTTGCGGTTGCAACCAGTAAGATGAGTGCTAATGTCAAAAGCAAGTACAATAACGGGTAAGTCTGATCTTTCTTGGTTCCAACCATCTTTTTTGCAAGATCACTAATTCCTTTCAAATTTGCAAACTTACTATTAGAGGTCATGTCCCAGATATAATTCTTAAGTTGTTCTTTGAGTAACTCAAGATCATGCTTTAAAAAATCACTTGGATAAAATTGGGCAAGACGCATCAATTTTTCTTTGTCAAAGGCAGAAAAAGAATTACTTGGACTTAAACATGCCACATAAAGAAGTAGTTCAGTATTCTTCTCAGTAAATCGATCATTTAACTCAGTGAGTTGCTTATCTATGACATAGGTGGATAAGTCAACCCGATAATGGTGCAAGTCTATGATGGGATGAGCTTTTCGGTTTGGCCGCTCTCCACTCTTAAAAAAATTATCCATGCTAGGAATTTTAATATGATTCTTGTCACAAAAAAGATGAAACTTCATCAAATAAGGATTCCCAACCACTTTCTCGCATCCTTTGCATATATTGACCAAGTTCATTGCATTCACAATATCTTGATCCTTCTTTTGCAATGTCAGTGATAAATCGTTTGTGATTCCCAAAACCTTTTTCATCAGTATAGACCAAAATTAAAGTTGAAAGATTGAATAAAAGTCAATGGAACCTTTGCTGTTCAGAACTTGTGCCATCTTTTCTTACAATCTCAAGCACTTTTATCGGTGATGAGAATATGTGAGTCAAGCTGATTAAACAATTATAGTGAGCGCGTATCACTAACCCGCTTAAGAGTAGCTTCTTGATTCAAACTTTGTCCACTTGAAAGCTCATTATTTTCTAGTGCTTCCAAAACTATATGAGTATGTTTCTCTCTAAGAATATCATGAAGCTTAGAAGATGCCAAACCAACATTCACTACAGAAGAAACTATAGTAACGGGATCTCCAATTTCTGAATTTTTTTTGCCACTACTACTAGAGCTAATTGAAGTTGATGAGCAAAACAATGAACATAAAGGCAGACTCTTTCTCATTTACAATTAGTGCTTTATGGCCATTGAACTCACCTTGCATATTACTTGACATATCATAGTCTTGCCCACGTAATTTACATATGCTTAATCCATGTATCATCAATGGCTAAATTGAGTGAGGAAGCTTTAGTATCTACAACATGCTCAATACCTACAAAGCGCTCTATCACATGACCATTATCCATATAGCGCAATACAATGGCCATTTGCTCCTTTGAAGACTTGTCTCGTGATTCATCAACAAGAATTGAAAATAAAGAATCACAAATCTCACTAGTGATTGCACTGATGATTTCATATAAAATAGCACTTGAGATATTCTTCTGAATATCAGGTGATGTCAATTTCAATTGTTCAGGAGCATTTTCTAGCGCGGTAGCCTTTATACCCTCATTATAGTGACATAGCCATCGTAGAATTTCAAGAAAGTTTCCTTGGTTGAGTGAATTTTCAAATTCATCATGCCCATAAAATGGAACACCTTGTTGTAAGAGAATCCTACTAACACCAACTGATGCACTTAATCGAGTTCGATAATCAATTCAATATTGGACAGTTTGTTTTGAGATAACCGTTTCAATATGTTGCTTTTGGTTTAATAAGGCTTCAAAGTTTCTCCAAGTATTATTATGAGAACTATTAGTCCTCCAACATGAATTTCTAGTTTCTTCATGCACTTCCAATTCCTAAATCTGACTCCAACAAAAGTATCCCCACCAGATTGATCTTCAATATTGGGTTTGAAAAGATAACAACATAAACAATAGGCAGCATTATGTGATGTGCTATACTCCAACCAATTAGGAAACTGAGTAAGCCAAGCATGATTGAACCTTCAAGGCTTTGTCCCAAAATTGTGTAGGGAAATGTATGGGTTTGTGGTTGACAAGGTTTTTTTTGGAGATAGGCTCTTAGAACTTGGTCTCGAACTTTAGGATGATAACTCAAAATCAGTCTACGCAATCCAAGATCATATTGGAGAGTTTCCAAGTTAATTTCCATAGAATCCACACAAGTTTGTTTTGAACTACTTTCATTGTTCTTTGGACTCCTTGGAGACGATGGCTCTAATATCTCAGGTTGTGTTTTTCTTTTGAAATATCTTTCCATAACTGAAAAGTAAAAAACATAGATTTACTAACTTTAAATTAAAAGAAGTATGAACATATATGCTAATTTTACAAATAAAACAAATTAGGCAATAGTTAAAAGAAATTGCAAGACATCAATTTAATCATAATTTATAAACAAAAAATTGCAAGAGGAATTAAGAGTAAAATGCATACTTTGGGTTGTTGGCCAATTAACTAAGCTTCAATATGTTTTCTTTGATGGAATTATGGAATTCTTTGATCTGCAAAAAAAAAATATTATTTTTTAAATTAATATACAATTCTAGAAGACAACATATATGAATTAGCAAGTTGCAAAAAATTTGAACATGACAACTTTGGAGATCAAAAGTTCATACTCTTAAAGGATCATGGAAATTGAGACTGATTAAAAGGCATCAAATATGCAGTACCAACTCTACCTAGACTGGAAGTCACATACCCTATAGGAAATTTGGAGAATACCCGAATATGAGAAGGAAAACTAATGAAAAGAGCTTGAAAACTTTGAGTTTTAACGATAAGGACAAAATAAAGGGTAAAGTGAATAGTACTATGATTGACTTTTTAATGTAAAAATGTGGGTTTTCACTAAAGTGAACAATACCAGGAGCTTTTCGTTAAAGTTCCAAATATGAAAAGGACAATAGGATGATAAACTAATAATTTTTAGTATTGAGAAGAGGAATAGAAGTGTTGGAAGTTGGAATAGGTAGGCTTTAGGGTTAGATTAGAGCATAAAGTCTCTTAAAATATTTAAAGGGGCCGGATACTTGTCTTGGAAATTGGAATGAGTTAAAGTCAAATAGTAGATGGACAAGTGATAAAAATAATAAAAAAAAGTAGTGCTAATATTTTTTTTACAAGAAGAAATTCTTGGGGGCAAACACATTGAGCAATATGATTATTTGCTCAAAGAAGAAAAATCTTGAAAAATCCAACACGTGAGACAATTTATAAGAATCCAACGTTGAGTTATGCATTAGCTAGAAGCGACGAGTCCCAATATGTCAGTGTGGACGCGGTTGAGATAGTGATTGACAAACCTTATGTATGCAAGGCACTAGCTCACGCTAGTTCCAAGGACGTTAAAATGGGCTCAGTCTCCGTTGAAGCGATTGTCAAGACAACAAAGGTATACACCTTTGACATCACCAAGGCTGATGCCATCTTTGACCAGTTACTACTTGCAAATATTGTTAAGCATCGGCCAGGGCATGACATTCCAAAGGCCGAAGACTTATAAGGGAAAACATATGGCAAGTATCATAACTCAAATAAGCACACGATGAATAATTGTGTCATGTTTCATGATGCCACCAAAAGCTGGATTGACAATGGCAAACTAAAATTCTCGGAGAAGACACAGATGCTGGTTAATGCAAATCATTTCCCTTTGGCATTGGTAAACATGGTAGATGCCCATTTTTCGAGAAATAAGAAAAAGGGGAAAGATGAATTCATCCTGATATACCATGTCCCGAAACATAATTCTTGGTCGAGCTTGAAGACTGATTTCTCATCCCAAAACGAACCGCCTAGTTTCTTTTCAAATCCAGTATATGTCGAGCTGGTGTCTGACTCTACCTTAGAAGGATCTGAAAGCATAATGATCTTGTGCAGTAGATGCCAATTAAAAGTCATTAGAGCTGAGTCAAAATCATAGAAATCTTCGACCAAACCAACAAAGGGTTTTCGACAGACTCGGCCCTCAAACATAGGATTGCAAACATTCTTCAGCTAGACGACGACTTGATTTTGACGGGCCATTTCATGATGAGGATTACTATGTACACAATTCTAGAAGTTTAAGTTCATCCACAGCCCAGTGAACTTTTAAACCACCGAAACCAAGTGACCATCATTGGTATGGATATAATCCCCTTGCTAGTGCATACATTATTCTATCCAAGTCCTAAAAACGTCGTCGACAAAGGATGGACTCCATGGCCCGTTGGTGAGCTGCTCAGGAAGTTCCAGTTATGAAATGGCCACCCGAAGAAACAACAAAAAATGAGGATGACCGACAAACTTCGGCAATCATGACTAAGCTGCTTCAAGCAAAGAATGTGATTGATAGCGACTTTGAAACTGAGATTGAAGAATCAGAGAAGATAATCAAACTTCTTCTTTGGCCTAGAGAAATGAAAGCTCGCATCGAGCATTTTAGAAAGCAAGCTGAAAGTAAACTCCTTCCATTACCGACACAAGAGCCATTGATCAAAGTCAAACAAAATCGACATCCACCATTCTTCGACGAGGCTTTCGAGTATATATGGGAATTTCGCAAGAAATATTCTGCAAATGACTTATATGGCCTCCCAAAGGCATATCAAGAATCTCTTGATTTAGCTTTGACTGGCCTCAATGTCGAACAAATCAATCAGAAGTGGTCGGAATAAAGGCTAGATTTCAACACATTGCGAAGCCAGTGTTCTCGGCTTCGACGTGGACCCATATACCGACCTAGATCCTGCAAACCTTCCATTTTCTTTAGATGATTTGCAATATTTGCAACATCATTTTAAGGTTTTCTCAACTGTGTCATTATTTGACCTCACGACTTAAGAGATGGAATGCAATGAGAGATTAGACACCTATCTGGACACACAAGATGCCTATATCGCATATCAGAAGTGGACTCATAAGGCTTTGCAAACCCAAGACCAAGTCCCAACATTGTTAGAGACAGATGCGGGAGTCGAAGATGAAATAGTCATGCCAGACACACTTGGTGAACAGGCTCTTTCTTCATCATCTATTGTTGTGGATGATGTGGTTGGAGCGGCCGAAAACCAAACTAAGTTATAGATTGGTCCAGCAGACGTGGATGGAAACTCAACAGGACCCATGTCCCAACCAAGTTTTTTGGATGGTGATGTGGTTGCCGAAGAAACCACGCAAGTTGACCTCGTGGCTAACGAAAAGGCTGAGCCAATTTGTAAATAGGACATGCTCAAGGTAGCTTTAGCCAAGTTATTTCCCCATTCCTCGGCCGTTAGCCTTCATCATTTGAAACCATTATATGTCATGGTTCATATTGAAAGGTATCCAATTTCAAAAGTTTTCGTTGATTATGGGGCAGTAGTCAACATCATAGTTGTTTCCATGATGAAAGCTTTATGACACTCTAAAGATGAGTTCATTCCATCAGGTGTGACTATGAGCAGCTTTGTGGGTGATAAATCTCAGACAAAATGAGTGCTACCTTTGGAAGTAAATATCGCATGTCGAAATCAAATAACCGTGTTTTTTTATAGTTTATTCAAAGACTAAGTACAATGCATTTCTTGGTCGTGATTGGATCTACTAGACTGGTTTTATTCCCTATTCGCTATATCAAGTTCTTATTTTTTGGGATGACAAATTGACCATAATGCATCTGGCTGATAATCAACCGTTTGAGGCTAACATGATTCATGCCCATTATTATGATGACTAGGTCGGCTACATCACTCTACAAGGCTTTAACGAAAAAGGAAGACTAACCAGGATCTATGTCCAGAAAGTCATCAAGGTTGTTGCCGAAACTATTCAACAGGATTCAACGAGGCTTGGATTGGTTGACTTAGCTGGTTGTCCTGATGACTGATACCACTCGACATGAAAAACGCAGGGCTACGGTTTCATCTACTATGGAACGGTTACAGTCCCATTGGTACACCATTTCCAAGCAGCCAAATTTTGGCATGAACATAGTGGAGTTCCTCACTGAAAGAAATAAAGGCCCAGTCTTGTCTCTTGATAGGAGCATCTTTATGCGACTTAGTTAGCTTGTTCTTGTGTATTTTTTGTTGTTATTCCTTAGTTATTTTAGTGTTTAAAGCTATTTTCGTGTGTTTGTAGGTCCAAAGGGCTAAGGAGTCAAGAAAGTACATTTTGGAGCTTTTTGGAGCAGTTTTGGGCTTGGAATGGATAGAGCATGCTTGGAGTAAGGGAGATAGACGAAATTGAAGACCTAAAGATGCAAGGATTCCTAATTGAAGAAGGATTCCTACAAGAAGAAGGAATGTTAAGCCAAAGTTTCCTACTTTGGTTTTAACCTTTCCTCATCCTAAAAGTCCTTAAGATCCAACAACAAAGAAGACTCCTAATCATATTAAGACACTAAATAAGAACTTCTAGAAGACCTAAATCCCTGCCCTAGTGGTGCCGCACCTCTCCTTTCCATTTCTCTTCCTTACCGTGCAAGGGAGAGTTTTTCTTTCCTATTCCCTACACCAAATCACATTCCCTTTCTTTCTTAAACATCCAGCCGCACCTTCTTCCCTTTCCTCTCTTAAATTCTGACTTTAATTTTGATTTCCCTTTAAGTTTTGACTTAATTTCTGTTACCTAAATAAGTTAGGATTTTGATTTCCAAAAACCTTAAATACTGCCCCTAGCCGCATTCTTGAAA